AAAACACGGTAAAAATTATGATAATTAAAAAAGACTTATCCAATATGGCGGACGGAAAAGATGCGAAAATCTTAAAGGTTTTCCGATTTCGGCGAAATTTGGATTAAGGGGGCTTACGCGGACGCTGATTTCGAATCCGTGATCAAAATTAGGAAAATCCAAATGGCTGATCCAAAACGGCGGACGAAAGTGTTGCGAAATACATAAAAATTTAAAAATTTCAGCGAAATTAGGTAAATGGGGGTTACTGCGAACGCTGATTTTGATTCCGTGTTCCAAATTTTTAAATTCAATATGGCAGACGAAAATGTTGCGGAAATCAATAAGATTTTCCAAATATGACGAATTTAATAAGACGCAAAGAAATGTAATTATAATTTAAAGCTTAATCGACTATGCTTTGGTGTAAATTTTGTAAGAGAAAATTATATGGTCGTTCAAAAAAAAAAGAATCTTGCGCGTAGCGCTCTGTGAAGTTGGCACCCCTAAATGCGAATATTGGTAATATCATTATTGCATTCGTTTGTCCACTATTTGTCCACGTTTGTCCACCCGTTATTTTCTTTGGTCCACCCTCCAAAAAAAAGTTATGCATAAAAAAAAATTGTAACACCCCCAAGTGATTATTTTACATTATTACGAAAAATATAATAAAAATAGGGTGGACAAATGAAAATAATGGGTGGACAATCACATGCGCGTTGTGGACAAACGATACCCGTGTACATAATTATGAAAAATTATCACTTGGAGATGTTACAATTTTTTTTTGTGTATAACCTTTTTTTGCGGGGTGGACCAAAGAAAATAACGGGTGGACAAACGTGGACAAACAGTGGACAAACGAATGCAATAATGATTTTACCAATATTCGCTTTAAGGTGCCAACTTCACAAAGCAGCTCTGTAAAGTTGGAATCTGTAAATGCGAATATTGGTAATATCATTATTACATTCGTTTGTCCACTGTTTGTCCACGTTTGTCCACCCGTTATTTTCATTTGTCCACCCTCCAAAAAAAAGTTATACACAAAAAAAGATTGTAACATCCCCCAAGTGATTATTTTTCGAGTTCGTATCGATTGCTTGAGAATTCATTTTACTAAATTAATGATTTTTTCGAAAAAATATGAATGAAAAATATAAAAAAAAACGAAGAACAACTGAATAATATTAAAAGAAGACGAAAATCATCATCTTCATGACTATTTCAAGAAGCGGGGAAAAATAAAAAAATAAAAAAAATACGAAAATCAATAATTTAAAATGAAGACAGTTAATTAAAACTAACGGAAAAAAAGGAAAAAACAAATAATAATCTTATAAATTAGACAAATCCGGAAAAAAATTTTAAGGATGTATAAATGCTTAAATTTTTTAAAAAATTAAGTAAAGAAAGAACCTACGTTGTAATTTTAGGGGGATTAACAAACCAGTTTGGTCTTTTCCAGATTTGTTTGTGTATCTCCAATAATTCTGAATCGCGCGCGTAGCGCACGCAGGAAAAGTCTAGTATATATAAATTGTATGTCAATTTTTAATTTGTGATATTATTGTATTATCCTAGTTTTAAGTTAAGATTACATTTTAAAATCGATAATTATTTTGATTCGTATTAATTAACAGACCTGGATATATTGATTCACACTAAAATATTTTAAATACTAAGATCTAGATTGATAAAGGATGTTTCGTTACTTAATTATGATTCATATGCAATTTAATGTCATAATATCATTTATAGTGGTTAATTAAAAGATTTGTCATATGTTACGAATGCTTATACGCAATCAATTGCTTTTTATAGTATTACAGAAATTCCTTAGTTACAATCATGGTCAATATCACTGGTTAGCTGTTGTATTTTACACTGTTCAATTACAGATCATTCCAGCCATAGTTGAAGCGAAAGTGAACTCGACTGACATTGAATGACAGAAAGAAGTTTTAGTAGTTGAATATATTGTAAAAAGTTAATTGTAACTCTCTTTTAATCACATTGTACCATTTTAGTTGATGAAATTATCTTCTTTTAGTTGATCAAATTATCTTCTTTTACTCATTAATCGTTCCAGTGAGGCTGTGAATTGACAGTAATCATAGAAACAAGAATCAGGATTAACTACGTTAAATCCTACGAAAGGGGATATTAAGTTTTAAATCAAAACTCGGGATTAGATCGGAACATTTTTTTTATTAAAGATAATTGTTTATTTTTACAATGTTACAACAATTTGATAAAATTAAATTAATTTTAATTACTTCTTTTAATTCAATTAAATTCATTTTAAGTAATCAATACCGTAATTTAAATAAAATATATATAAAATGTACAATTGCTAATCGCGGGAATTAATTAATCATAAAACTAAAAAGTGTTGCAAGATTAAAAAAAATGATTAACATGCTTCTTTCAATCATCGATTATTAAACTACAAGCAATAAAAGTCAGGCTGTATTTCAAGACAAATTTTATCTGATTGTGTTGCCTCCATTAAATCATGATTGCAAATATGACATAACAAATACCAAATTTCAAGATTTAATTACTGTATCACATTTCAAGATTGGTTTCAGCTAAGAGTTCTTCGGTAGAAACGCTACTGTAGATATAGTATAAGTATATACATAATTTTTGCGTAGGTTTATGATGCGAATTGAATGTAATTTTGACCTTATTTCAATGATAATAATAGACACAATGTGTTATTTATTTATTAGAGAAACGGTATCATTGTCTGTTATTATAAAAATCAAATTATTTTCGCTGCTTTGAACACAGGATCTAAAATAATCTTCCGCAACTTTCACTCTGACGATCACGATTTAATATTGACAAGTACATTACAGATGGAGAAAGACATATCCAAATCTGTATCATGTATCCTAAACTCTTCGCAGAACACTTCCAGGTGCGGAATAGAGCAGCAGTTAATGTACTTGCACGCGAGGCAATTACGGTTATACGTTGCTCTTATATCACTTTATGCTTTTCTTTACGGCGAGTGCAAACTTTACGAAATAAATGATTATAGTTCGCGTAATAAGTATTCAAAGCGGCGTATGTTACGATTTCACTTGGGCTCTTCCGTGTTGTAAAGATACTGTTCAGTTTAATTTACGTACATTTGATTGATTTGATGCATTATTATTATTATTGAAAATAAGACGAACATTTAAGCATGTTCTTTTATATAGTCATAATACCAGCGCAAGAAAAAGTTAAACGAATAGAATAAATAGCATGTTGGAACTGTTGCCGGATGACGAAGGAAATTTTTCCTTTTTTCTCCGTTCATATATATCTCCGGGAAATATCAGAAGAAAGTTTCGAGAAGCGCGTATAAATATAAGAGTTAAGTGGTTAAGTTAATATAACTGCCACCAAAGCGGGAAAGTGCAACTTCGAGAACGCAAGATGTGTGGAGAGCACTTTTACACTGATTCGGTTTCGGTTTCACTGGTACTAATCCTGGGAAATTCGTTTGAGTTACTTAATTTGTTGTAAAAGAAAGTATCGATCGTATCGTACGAATCATGCGATACGCGTAAATGCACATTGTTTGTAATAGGAATGACACGATTGCATTTATAATTGATTCAATACAATATACACTATCTATCAAATTATATTTCCTTACAAATAATATAGCGATATATTGTTAAGTATATATAATAAATGTATAAATTAATATACAATATTTATTCGAATTTTAGAATTGTATTTGTAAGATTTATTTCTTAGTGCTCTTTTCTCCCTACTTGGAATTTATTCTACAGGACTTAAATCTATTAAAAATTACTGATATTTGATGTATCGAATAAGAAATTAAAGAAAAATATCGTGAGTCGTTAAATTGATAATCAATGTAATTTGTAATGTGTGTTATTTCCAACTTTTCAATTTATAATTGCATTTCACAAATTTTACAAATCTAATCGGTTTATAGAGAATTAAAAAATGTATTTATAAATTTGATAAATATATACTTTGACCAAAAATATAGAATTCTTTCTCTTATTTGATTTACTTTTATTGGTTTTCACTTATAATTGTTACGGAAATTCATACAACAAAGGATGAAAAAAACGGTAGAAGATAACTGCTTATTGAAAAATGTAACCGAATATTCTTAGAAGGAAATAACAAGAATCATTTCGTTTTACGATTCAACATAGAAAGTGTCTATTCGCTTTCATTGGCTACTCATAAATAGCATCACTAATCCAGTATTCTTTGCGTATAGATTAATGAACTAGAACGCAACAGGTATCGTGTGTAAGTGGCAACGTATTTCCGTCATGAGTCAAATATAACCTACTTCATAGAATTTTAAAATTCTTATTTTTTTTTAATCTAATCCAAATATTCTCATTTCTATATTAAATTTTATTTTAAATCTATATTTTTTAATCTAATTCATATTCTTGTTTCTATATTAAATTTTTCTAAAGCATGCCGTGTATAAAAATTTGATATTAAAATACAAACTATTATAAACATTTTTTTAAATAATAAATCAATGACAAAAACTGTTATTGCAAACTAGATACTAAAACCATATTTTACATTGTAAAAAAGTGACAGTAATTATAATATTACTAGAGATAAATTATAAGTAAAAATATTATAAGTAAAAAATCTTGAAGCTATTCCGTACATAACAGTTGAACATACAAAATCTTTTTCGTGGAAACTTTGCATTTTTCTTGAGAAGATCATGATTTAAATTGCTTGTGTGTTTTGCGTACTGTCTCGCGGCTTTAAAACAAGTAGCATGGTTCTTAATGAATGAATGGCATTCGTCGCTACGCGGCGCCGCAAAACAATGATGATCATTTAAGCGTAGATAATTGTCACGGATAAAGTATTGCAAGGCTATAAAGGTCTAGCTGGTTGAACCGGCGAAAGTCGTCCATGGTGTATAAATAATAGTAGGATACCTTTCCGTTTAGATTCAGTATAAGTTGGTCTATCGTCTTGATCGCAAAGAAATCGTGATGGGACACCAGGTATTTTTATTTTTATTTGTTTAATATTATATTAATTCTTCTTTTACAAAAAAAATTTCATAAAAAATATTTCTTTTATAAGTTAACAAATGTGTTTGTATAAATTTTAGAATTATCTGTAATTGGAGAGCTAAAGCTAAGTACTTAAATTTGATATAAAGGACTTTGAAATTCTTTTATTAATTATTATTAAGTTGAAAATATTCGCATTATATTAAACATATTACAAAATATTTTTTAAATATTTTTACTAATAGTAAATTTCTTTAAATAGTGGGAGTGTCTAATAGCATTTCTTTGTCTCGGGATTGCTCTTACATCGTCAGCTAGTCGTAGAGAGGAGCTTGAGAAGGCTGCTGAGCTTGCAGTAGAAAAAGCAGCCGAAAGAGCAGCCGAGAGGGCAGTGGAAAAGGCACTTGATGGTGGAAATACCACGACGGAATCCAAACTTGTTCGTGAGTCTTATACCAACATTAGAAAAGATCCGCCCAAGGAGAAGAAAGAAGACGATGATTACAGCGATAGCGGCGGATACGAGGCGGTGGACGATGAAGAAGAGCCAGAAGAAGACACGGATGATTGGAGCAGATATTCAAGAGATCCAACATTTGCGTCTCGACGCACGAAAGATAGAGATTTTCATGCGTGGTCCAGTAAGATCGATATCAAAGATTCGACGGACATCTGGAGAAGATTTCCGAGAAGCGAATGGTCTCACGAGGATACAAGTTGGAATAAACAAAATGAAAAGACTGTCATAACCGTGGAAAAGAAAGTGCCGGTACCTGTGACGATTGAGAAGAAAATTCCGTATTCGGTCTATAAACATGTTCCTTATGAGATCAAAGTGCCCGTACCGCAGCCTTATATGGTGGAGAAGAGGGTGCCTTACCCGGTCAAGGTCTACGTGAATGTTCCGGTTGAAGTTCCAGAGCCTTATCAAGTCGAGAAACAAGTTCCTTACAAAGTGAAGGTCGACAATCCTGTGCCGTACAAAGTCGAGGTACCAATACCGCAGCCTTTTACGATTGAGAAAAGGATTCCAGTCGAGGTTGAGGTACCGATACCGCAGCCATATACTGTTGACAAACCGATACCGTATGAGGTCAAAGTACCGATCGAAATACCTACTCCGTATGAGATTGAGAGAAAGGTACCGGTACCGTTAAAGGTTGCCGTCAATCGGCCGTATCCGGTACCAGTGCCTAAACCATATCCGGTGGAGGTCACCAGACCATATCCGGTAGAAGTGCCCAAACCGTACCCAGTAAGAATCAAAGTACCTGTGGAAAAACCGTATTTTGTGCCGATCAAGAGGCCAGTTCCGGTACCTGTCAAAGTGCCGGATCCTCAACCGTATACCGTAGAGAAACCTGTACCGGTAGAAATAGTGAAACCTTATTTTATCTCGATTAAAGTACCCGTGGACAAGCCTTACGAGGTGTATGAAACAAAGCCGGTACTCGTCCCGGTAAAAAAACCCTTCCCGTATGTTGTGCAAGTGCCGGTACCCGTCAAGCTTGGTTGGAAAAATCGAAACATCAAGGAAGATTTACTGGAGAGCGAAAGCACTAAGACCAAATCATTGCTACGACCGCAATGGTCAGATCGTGAATCATTCACTCGATAAAACCGCAGATGTTTATACTGTTCGCCACAAGCAATTCATCATACGTCATGTACGCGGATATTTTGCATGAAATCGTGACAAGTATATTTTATGTAATTTCAAAAGAGACTGAATACCTATATGAAAGATAAAAATTAATCCAACTGAATTGTGTAAATTAGAATAATAAATTGCAAATTAGAATCATTAACAATTACAATAAGGTTCTAAAAAATTTCAAAATAGTTTAGCAATTAAAATAGATTTCAATTCATAATGAAATGACATGTAAACTACAATTTTGTCACAACATATTACGTAAGATCATTTTATTTAAGATTTTCTCTTATTAACAAAATGTTTTTATATCTTTGTCAATTATTGTACAATATTTTAATAATGTAGCTAAAATATTCGATCATTAGAAAACATCAATCCATCAATATTAATATGATTATAGAAAAGATTTAATCGGTATGTTCTGTAAATTTTATTCTAAAATATATACATATATATACAATGTATATACATGTAATTGAAATATGTATTATGTATTTTTATTTAACGAATGTAGTTAAATATTTGTAAATTATATATTATATATATAGTGAAAACTGGAAATATCATTTCATTAAAGTAATATGCAGTAGTATCGAAAAAATTCAGGATCTCTAAGTGAACCGCGGTCTGAAATTTAATCGCGGTGCAAGGTAAATCTAGCCTATTACGAGGGATGGTTGTCACCATAAAAATAAAAAGTTCATATTTTATTCGCCATAAAATTATTTATATTTAATTATGATTATTTATAAAATGTCACATAAATCTAAAACCTCATGTGCAAATCTAAATTAACTTAAAAAGAAGAACTATCAGGTAAGTCAAAAATGGCACAACCACAGTTCTAGCGTTAACTAATTGTTTTTAAATTATGTAACACGAAACTCTCTAATAGTCCTACGCAACAGGATGTGCATACATATATTTCGTTGATTTATATGAGTTTATTTATAATTATTATCTCCAATGTGTAAATAAAACTAAAACACGTCATGACTGTGAAATTACTTTTCTAATTATTTTCCTAGTCACTTCCCTATATGCGCTTGATTAGGGGAAAGGAAGTGAAGGACGGTCGTAAAACTGTGGTAATAAAACCAAACTTTGTTTTTGTTATTGAGCGTATCGCTATTTACGTAAAAATTGGAAATGACTTTGCTAATCAATTCGCACACTGTGTTTTTGCTGTGATACTTGCATTAAATTTTAAATTCCTGACTACGACGTAATGGAGAAAATGAAATCTTTTTACTTATTTGTTTCAACGTAATTAGAATAAGAAAATCGTGTGATCTTCGTGTAGTATTAATAAATAATAACCTATTTAATAAAAACTAATAAAATTAAATTTTTTTAATAAAAATAATTATATATTTATAAAGGGTTTCCACACATGACTGTTTAAACTTGATATAACAAATTTTATATATAATAGTTCAAACATTTACATATTATACATATATTTCGTTTTATCAAAGTTTAATAAAAATATTCCCTGCATTAAGCAGTGAAAATGCAATTTCTGTTGATATCATCAAGAATCTTAGTTACTTTAATCTGCTCTAATTTTAACCGACGTAATGTCTGAACATTCACTTTTTTCTTCTTCAGCAATAATTAGTCTCGCTTACTTTTTTCATTTTTTTCGCTATATAGCTATCTTTACAGATACGCATCTATCTTTGAATATCAAATTAAAAATTAAAATTTCGAATATAATTGCATTTAAAAACAAATGTATTTCCAATCTTTAATTAGTAAAATAACTCTATAATTTGTTTAATTCATCGCACTTTTCTCTTTGCGTTTCCTTCTTTACAATATAATTATATATTTTAGCTAAATTTATAAATCTATTTTTTGGGCCTTTCCATTTTTTATTAAATGTCTTAAATATTTTATATTACCTTTCAATATTCAAATTGTATACTTAAATTTTCTTTCTTCTTGCTATTTTCTTTTATCAATACATAATCCTTTCAGTATATTTTCTAATTGCTGCGAATAATTAAATTCGCTATGCGGATGCAATAACTAGCAATAATTAGTAAGTATTGTATAAAACGTCTGATATCACTTTGTATCAAAAGTTCACTCGAATCCAATCTCAATTACCTTTATTATCGCCGTATGCTTTTAGACGTTATCTTTCTCGTATTAATGTCAAGTATTTTAAAAGCATCTCCCAATTGGAGCAAGTCGTCGTGAGTCAATTTGCCGTGTGGCTCTCCTAGGAAGCAGCACATAAACGCGGTCAATCTCACATCGGCGCAATGTTCTTAAGATCTATATCTCCTCCTTGCCCCGTTCCACCATCCTCTCACCGGACACTTTTCACTTTTTCTCTCCTCCTACCGTTCTCGATTCTTCCTCTCGCGCTCTCCCTCGGACCGCAGGGGAGACCGTTAAGCCTCCATCGTCATGTTCCTCGTCTCGGCCGAGAGAACTCGTATACATACAGTATACCGCGTGTCCTTCCGTGGGGACCGGATACGGAGGGGGTCACTGCAGAATCCTGCCGGACGGTACGCACGAGCGAGAAACTTCTACGAGATGGATAATGGCGGAGAAAGATTGGCTCGGTTGAAAAGAGAAGGGTAATGATAGCAAAGGAGGAATAGAAACGCATCTACGCGCCCAGTGGCGTAGATGGACAGGATCAAAAGGACGAAAAATATTTCAACTCGTGATAGGAGAATCGAGATATTATATATATATATGTACATCATTATTTAGCAAAAGAGTGTAACGCGCAATTACAAAATTTTTCAGAAAACCTGAAGACAGCAATCCTTTGTAGATAATATCTTTTTTAATTTCTTTTTCGACAAAACGTTCTCTCATTCGTATCAAAATTTCACGAACGCTATTATGTGATCGTTAATTCGGAATTCTTCATTTTTAAACGTCTTTTCTTACGTGTTTACTTATTTCGAGTGACAGGTAGTTGTAAAACATTCTCATTTCCGACGAACGTACTTTCTAGTTTTGATTCTTTTTAATATTGCCGTCGAAGGAACTTCCGGTGTTCCGTAATTTTCCGCAGTGGCTACGCCGTTGCTCGCGATTATGGAAGCACTGTAGCTTGTGTCTAGGATTTATGAAAAAAAAAATGCCATAACGCTCCGTGTACGTCGGGCAAGCGACCAGACGCGTGTTTCACTTTTCCGCGAGAGTGCAGAGGGGCCCGCTTGGTACATGTCGGGGGAAAGCGGGCTATAAAGACAGTGGCATCTTGGGGGGAAGCATTCAGTAAAGTCTGGACATTGACCAGATCGTGAGACTTGGTAGTCATGAGAATTTTGGTAAGTTCGCTCTCTCGTCCGGGGCGAAATTAGTTGCATTTACATTCTCAAATTAGCTTCGTTTAATCATCTTGCCTGCGCATCATCTTATCGAGATTTTAAGTATGCATATTGAGCCGTGAGAGAAGTGTTAGTTTTTAAACCAAATTATTCAAAGGTCGTTTAAATTGATTAATATTATTTCGACATTAAAAGTAAATTTAATTTATTACAATCGAAAAACAAAAAGCAATAGCTGATCTGGATAGTCAGGCTTACATATTTTATGTAACCTGCTACACTATGTCACGTTGTCGAGGCCATTAACAACCGTAGCACTTAACGTATAGCATTTTTCCAAGAAGTAAATCATTGATGCTGCAACAGTAAGCGACTGATATAATCAGTATGACGTTTCGATTACAGTTTCTCACGGTGTTAGTGGGGCTGCTGGCCTTGGCCGTGTGTGAGAAGAAAAAGGAGATTACAAGTAAGCCGAGCAAAAATGCTGAACGCGAGAAAAAACAGGATAAACGCGGACTGAGTCATATCGAGGCAGACTACGGAGGACACGATGGCGGTTACGGTGGCGGCGATGGCGGCGGCTTTGAAATTGCCCACGACCTCGGCGGCGGAGATATCGGTGGAGGACACATCGGTGGTGGACACATCGGTGGCGGACACGACATTGGCGGTGGTTATGATGGCGGTTATGGTGGCGGTTACGGTGGCGGTTACGGTGGCGGCGATGGCGGTGGTCATGATGGTGGTTACGGTTACGGTGGCGGTGGCGGTGGCGATGACGGTGGCAAGATCAAGCAGATCACGATCGTGAAGACCGAGAAGGTGCCTTATCCGGTCGAGAAGAAGGTTCACTATCCGGTGGAAAAAGAAATTCCGTATCCGGTGAAAGTGCCAGTACCGCAGCCCTATCCGGTTGAGAAAAAGATCCCGGTACCGGTGAAGGTTTTGGTAAAGGTACCGGTTCACATACCGCAGCCGTATCCCGTTGAGAAGAAGGTGCCTTATCCGGTTCACGTGCCGGTAGAAAGACCGATACCCTACAAAGTATATATCCCCCAGCCGTATCCGGTCGAAAAGAAAATACCGTATCCAGTGAAAGTACCGGTACCGCAACCGTTCCCAGTGGAGAAGCCCGTGCCGTACACTGTGAAGGTTCCAGTGCATGTAGCGCAACCCTTCCCCGTGGAGAAGCCAGTACCGTACCCCGTGACAGTGCCCGTCGATCGACCGTACCCAGTACACGTGGCTAAACCATATCCGGTCCCAGTTGAGAAACCAGTACCGTATCCAGTTGAGAAGAAGGTACCCTACCCAGTCAAAGTTCATGTGGAGCGACCAGTAGGAGTGCCCGTAGAGAAACCAGTGCCCTACCACGTTAAAGTACCGGTACCGGCGCCGTATCCAGTAGAGAAGCCAATACCTGTGCCGGTCGAGAAACCGGTGCCCTACGCCGTAAAAGTGCCTTACGAACGACCCGTGCCGGTTCACGTGACGAAGCCAGTGGCTGTGCCGGTGCCTAAGCCGGTACCGTATCCCGTAAAAGTGCCGGTGGCGGTACCAGTGCACGAGCACGACTCCGGGATTGGAGGTGATGATTACGAGTCCAGCTTCGGGGGACACTCGGGATATTAGTATCGAAAAGCGTGGCAGTGGAGGATTTTCTTTTTCAATTCGAAAAGAAATTAACGAGAGAGAAATGAAAATACGTTAGAATGAAGTAAATGATAATCAAAAGAAAATAATCGAATTTGTCAATTCGACTGAATGATTTTAGTCAATTTTGTATATAAAAGCATTAAATTGTATATACATATAATCATGAAAAAAAGAAACTAGAATTAGATCGTGTTAATTTGTATAAATTAAATTCGGGATGCATAGATAGACTGGGTAAGTGATTCATAGAGGGGCCCAACATTTGCAAATTCTCCACTGCATCGTACGAACGAACGTATCGGCGCGCATTACGGAATATCGCAATAACACTTCTTCTACATTGTTTTCAAACGCATTGCGTCGAGAAGAAAATCAGAGAGCAATGTGTGATTCGTAACGCGGTCAACGGCTGATCTTTCATACGGGAGCGTTAACGAAGCGTTTCCTCGGGTACTCGCGAGTCTCGAATTTATTTTTCGAAGTGCAAGTCTGCGAGGTAAACGCGGACGTATTTATTTTTCTAACTTAACGTCGTTCTCACTGCGGGGTCCTACGAGGGAAAGATGAGTTTGCAGAACAGCCGTTTTGCGCCGTGAAAGATGATTATGGGTCTCCGAGTCTGCTTAGACAGCGCTAACGATTTCTTAGATATATAGTATCGACAACTTAAGTACCTACGAGAACATATGTACTGTGTTTCTTACGACGTTCGGAACTTGTAACGAACGTCGTTGTACGATGTCTTTCGCTTCTTTCTAATAAAACCAAAGAGCAAAACGACAGCCTTGGAATTCATCCTAGCCTCATTGCTATTCTTTAGAGAAGATATGAAAACTCTTGTTTATTTTTATATGCTTGACCTTCTTTAATAAATTTTGCATACTAAGCAATTTGCAGCTCTTGTACTCCTTTCCCTTGCGAGCGAAATTGAATTAGGTATCAAATTAATATTCAGCTCAGTCACAGTATACACTAGATTTCTTGAACATTCATTGGAGATCAAGCAGTTGAACAGTAAAGTGATTTATATGTTACGAGACAGATTTTCTCTGTTTACGTTTCTCACGCCAGCGTCAATAATCCTTGAACTTCGTGTAGCGTGACGAATTATTTATCTCCGATCGCGTGCATTCGATAATGCACGGTATTAGCTCCGCACGAGCGGTATTTGATTGTAACCGAGACGCTGTTCCGGTTCCTTGTTCCGGCGGCGGGGAGCCGGAAAGAGATAGAGCCGCGCGGCGAAAGCCATTTTCGTAATTTTGGCCGCAGCGTACGCGGAAATTCGCCCGATAATTAGCTAAAAAGTCTCTATGCGTAATTAAGCCTCGTACGGTCGATGGAAAAAGGACTTTCTTTTATCTAGCATGACTAACGAAGGAAAGAGCGCATACGTAACACTTCCGATTCGATGATATCAGCGTCCTGTTCTGCCTCGCGACCTATCATTCAGATCGTGCGAATCTCAGGTATTAAAACCGACTCGTTCGCGCATCATATTAGCTGCAAACGCGTGTAACGAGAGTGTCGGAGAAAGGGCCTCCTCTCTTTCTCCTGATCTACCAATGAGCAGATCACAAGAGGAGGAGCACGGGATCGCGAATCAAAAGTGAAATCGCCGATCTCGTGCACGAGGCACGCGGCTACGCAGAATTGTTTGCAACGGGATTATCCGCTTCGGGCGTATTGGAAACTACATATGAAAGTACGTAGCAGGTGTTCTTTTATTGCCAAATCAGCAAGACTAGACTTGTTGAAATAATAACGTACCCTGCAGAACGTAAATGCTATATGCAATTTATCAGATAATATTATTATTGCAAGAGCTAATATTATATTGTACTGTACGATTTTTCCCGTTGCTACAATAATGCCGCAATTTTCACACAGTATTTCATATTAAATTTTAATTACCGCTGTCGCAATTACAAAGATTGTCGAAAGAGTTAAAAATACTCTGATCCCGTAATTTTTTTATCTACGCGAGATCGATCGTGAATGAATTAAAATAATGTTTGAAATTTGACGAGTACTCACCGTATATAGGGAATATTGGCCGGGATGTGATACTTCGCTCCTGGATCGAAATCGTCTTCGGATCGCAAAACCGGTGGCTTCGTGCCTGTGTATTGCTCCTTTAGCCGGTGCCAGTGACAATTATACTCCTCTTTATTGACGTAGCCGCGGAAGACGTCCCATCGCCACCTATCCATCGCGATGCTGAAGGGCAGCAGCACCAGTTTGTCCATCGCCAAGGAGAAGAGGTAGTTGATGTCCGCGGAGCGTTCATCGATGAACGTATTCGCCAGACCCAGAGTTTGCAGATGCTGCGGCGTCGTGACGCTCAAAGCGACGGCTTCGCCGACCGCCTCGTGGAATCCTGATGATTATAGTAATAAGCAACAGTATACGTAATAACTAGATGAAGAATCGCGCAAATTATCACGTTTGTTTTCTTCGACAGTTGTTATTGGAAAACGTTTCGCTTGTAATAGATTTTATAATAATAGTTATCAGTGGGGTTAATGTGGATTTTTCTTTTTCTTATACGTTGCTGTTAGACGATTATGTTCATGGTTACGACAAGGTATCCTTACAGTCGAGTGATAAAAGGTCTCCATTCTATTTCAAACGCAGTAACCACGAATATAAATTCTGGATTTCAGATTTCGAGTTTCGTCGTGAACGTTTTAAAGGAGTTTGACTGTTTGATAATCGAACGGTGAAAGTCGACGTCAGACTAAACAGATGGCTTGTCGTTGAGTTCCGTCTACGATTATCGCAAAATTTCTCGAGGTTCTCCGCGGATAACCCGGTGACTTTTTGCGCTTGATGCGATTTAACACTAACCAGGATGTAATTACGTTTAGCGCGGATTAGTCGAGCGTGGCAGATGATGCTGATTATTTCCCTTTTCTTCAATCACATTTCCCCATGCAAAATGCATACACGCCTTGAACGCATAATTAATAGTAGTGTGATTTCGTAATTTGGAATTAACGTTAATAAGGCGTTACAAATACACGAAGGAATGCAGATGAAAATCTGTGATAAAAATTATTGGAGAATGCAGGCAAATTTTGTTGTCGAGGTAATTCTGTAATAATTCTGAATTGTGTAACGACCCGGATTTCGATAGGAGCGATAGACCGTCTACGTGACGATGGCTGAGTCGAGGTAGATTTGATCATGATGTAAGAAGACCAGGTCTAACTTATTTCAAAGATGAGCAGTTGTTTAAAATAATGATTTTTTAAAATGAAATTTGTGACTAACCAAAAGTTGGTCAGAAATGTCGTGAATTAATATAAAAATGTTGTATATTAGAAATTTGCTAAATTATATTTAACTGTCGCAATGTTACTGGTCTTTTTACATCATGGATTGACGTTCGCAGATTTTACGCGAAGTCATTATCGAACGATCGACAAGGCCACCGATGCGAAGCTGTACTCGTTTTGATTCAAAACAATCCGTGTTCCGGTGTGAGGCGAACGACCGGGTCGACCGACAGGCCAGCCGTTGCTGCGGTGAAAGCGCGATTAAACCGTAATAAAAATATTTTAACGTGCGCCCGACGCCAATGTACGAGAGTAACATCCACTCGCCTATTCGCGAGTACTGTAGTCCGTAGCACGCGGCGTACACCTCGAGCATGTCGTACTCGCTCTCGCTTTCGCGCTATTAGCCGTAAGACGCACACAGGTCGGCTGTGCCTTCCGGAAGTCGGCCGAGAGTCGGACCCGTCGCTCTTATGCAACGCGTTGTCGTCTGTCCGGCACGCATGCCATCACCAAGGCAGTTTTATAGCCTTTTGTCCCAGAGTCTGCGTTTTTCTTCCCGGCGTGACGCAATTTCTAATTAATGCACTTACGCATCACACGAAATATCAACGTCATTAAGAACGGATGTTGATGTCCCTTTTTCAAGCTATCTTAATACTTTTATAATAAGCGTTATTATGTACCTATTCCTTTATATATTGAAAGAGACAGAGACAGAGAAAAAATACAGTATAGTTTTATTTTAATAATTGAAATTTTGTTTCGTATTTTGCGATTTGTTTTACCGTCTTATTCTTGATTTCTGTCTTGTTCAATATTTATTATTTTTTGAGTTTCGTAAAACTTATAATAATTATATAAAATTTGAAATTCATAAGTTAATTTAGTAAACGTAAGCTTTAATTAACAATCGCACGTAAATTGATCACGTTATAATTTAAAAAAATTTGTTATAAGTTTATTTAATATACTAATTATAGAAAATATGTATTATATTGTATAATTGAATGTATATAGTACATAAATTGAAGACTTCAAACGTAATTACCTGGATTAGCACCGTCACGAAATTCGCGAGGTAGACCACTGTACCTCAAGAAATACTGAATATGTGCCATCTCGTGATGCAAAGTTACCAAATCTTTCATTGTCACTTTTGTACACATTTTGATTCTAAGCATAAAAGTATAATAAGCATATTAGAAACTTTTATTTCTGTTTTATAATCTTAACAGCATGAGTTTAATAAGTAAAAATGTTTAATGCCTGCAAAATGTTTATGCTGAGTAAAATTATTGATGAACGTGTCAACCTGTAATCTATGCGATTGCAAAAGTCCCACGCGGACGCTTGGCAGATTAATGGGCGGTCACCAGGATCGGCGATTATGCTTCCGGCCCAGAATTCCGGCGGCAATGCGCTCAAATTCAAGGACAGGTAGAATTCCTCGGCTACTCGAATCATGTCAATAGGTGTGTAGCCCTAATAATATAATGTAATCAGTTGTATATTATATAGTACTTATCAATTGATTATATTCTCTAAAACTACACAAAAAGGATACTTGAAGTATCTAAAGATTAAACTGAATACAAATCGGAAAATAATTTTGTTGGATAATTAAAATAATTATATAGAACGATCAAGACGGTTTTTAGAATGTCGAAACTTTATGCAATACTCGTAATACTTAAGCGTCATAATTATTACATTTTGATGGCCTAATAAAGTTGTTTTTATTTTTCTATCTAAATTTTTACAAATTTTAACAAAATTTTCCTTTTTTTCTACAAAAATATTATACAATATATGTAACATTAATTATAAAATAAAAAAAACGAAGGGAGGATCTTACTTGAGCCCGCATTTCCTGCGTGACGTCGGGATATGTTTTACCGGGATACGGCAAAGTAACATCCAAAAGATTGGTCCAAGACTGTCCCCATATATTACCTAATAATAAATAATGAGTAAAAAACAGTATAGTTACATAAAACCAAATAATTATACACATGGGAAGAATAATTTTGCTAACGTATTTAAAAATTAGCTAGGTATAGATCTAAAAATAATTTTTTTTTGGACAAAATAATTATGACGCTTAAATATCATGAGTAATGTTACAAAAAATTTCGACATTCTGAGAACCACCTTGAGTGTCCAATATAATTATTTTTGATAATCCAACAAAAATTATTTTCAAACCTATATTTAGCTTAATTCTTAGATACTCCAGTAAAATCGTTCTTTCCGTGCAAGTAATTAATTGATAGTTAATTGCTAACGATATAATTGCTAATAAACCTATAATAATATTTAAAACATTCTGAAATAAATATCATGATTTTTTTACCGAGAATGTGAGACGGAAGAGGGGTGTGTATGCCAATTTTTTCAGGACCATAAAGATCCCTCAGCTTTCTACGAATATAAGCGTGCAGTTCTTCGTAAAGTGGACGTATCATTTCCCAAGCTTCATCAATGTCTTGTTGAAAATTAGGAGATTCGTAAGGGAACATCCAATATTCGGCGGCATCGGTAAAGTCTATAAAAAGAAATAAATGTAATATTAATCCTCAACATTTCAAGCAACTTTTAATACAACTTAATTAACGTGCATCGTATTTCATGTATATCTATCAATTAATCCAAATGAAATGATCTTGTCACTCGCTAAAGATTAGAAATGTGAAAAATTCTTGACGATGAAATAAGTTCAACGCTAGGATCTTTTTGCAATCTTGCATGAAACGAAATTATACGCTGACCGACTTCATCGGGGATTCCATTTGACACATCATACTTCCGGCATATAGAATTAAAGTTATAGACATACTATTCATTCTTGCAGCATCATTGGTCAACGCAATAAGTTGATGATACAGGTCCCTAATCGGCCTGCCACTTCGTCTTCTCCACTCGGTCCAGACGTACTGCAGTTCGTCCCAGTCTCGACTTTTTGCCATGATTTGCGATATATCTATAATAAAAAGTACGATACGGAAATATATATTGTATAACTTTTAGATGCGTCATGTATCGTTATGTATACACACAAGTTATTTTATTAAATATTATATCACGTAAATTTTTTAAGACAAATTTTAAAAGAATTGTTAATGGCGTAACGATACTCTTCCTCTTATTTTTGAGAACGTAAACAAAATTTATTGAACAAAAGTAAGTAGTGAACGCAAAAAGACGGTAAGCTTTCGTCAAAGTTATTGGCATAGGCTATAAATTTCTTCATTGATTCGCGTAAATTGAATTCCTTCGCTTTCGGAGCTCGAACGCAGTCAATTATCATTTCGTGATACACGCTATTATAAACACGTACGGATAATTAAGTTCTTAATTATTAAACTATACTATAACTGCGTAGTGTGTCTTCGCTCAATAAATTAATTGTTTGCTTTCTATTTGTGCATGTTCTGTGATGCCTTAGATTGCGTTCGCTTTGCGTTCTAAATGGGCGTGTACGAGATATTTACATTAAACATAAGAATAATAGACAATTAGAGGAGCATACAGTGCGGCGCAGAGGTTCTTATAAATTAATGGAAAAGAAAAAGAGAGGGACCTTTCTTTCCCCTCGGGGGGCATACGTGCGCTCGCGTGACGTATCTTATTTTCTTCACACTTTCATGCGCATTTTGGACTTACGTAAATCCGTACGTGGAATTTCGCCGCGACGAACCGTGAACGATGCCGACGCGACGGCATCGTACCGATCTGATCGTTATTCAGCGTAATTCGTGATGTATTACCTGGATATAAACGCAGTCCACACCGGAACGGGTCGTTGTAAGCGCATATGGTCGCTGCGTTATAAATCGCAAGCATGTCGTTGATTAAGCGATTGTACTGTGAAAAAATCATGTTATTATTACTAAGTTTACTCTCGTAATTTTATTACTGCTATATTTACTGTTACGCATATTATCTGATATAAGCGCTATAATTGCTAATACAAACAAAACATTCACCCTGTCCAGTTGATCAGGTGGTAGTGCCGAAGGGCCCACCACGGACAAATAACGGAGTCGTCGTCTGATGATGGGGTCTCGAACAGAATTTATATCGATCCTCGAGATTAAAAGCCATGCTTGGTACTGGAAATCCGCATATAAGCGTTGAGCATCCAGCTGAAAGCGTAAAGCAAAATATTGAAAGCAATTCTCGTGTAAAACGAAAACAAATACATTTTATTACGCTGATGGAGAGATAGGTAATAATCGTCTCAATTATTTTTCAGTAACAAGTATTATGTATTGCCTTTTGTATTGAATTTTAATTGTATTAATTGTGAAAAAAATATTGCTGTGTAATTAATGTAACATGTGCAATTGTATTAATTAACGTAACATGTTAACTACATGACGTAAGAGAACTAATCTCTCGGCGACTGATTAGGAAACGCAGTTGCAGTCCAACACGAATAGACGAACGACGGTTTTACCGTTAGAGATAAAACCGTCGTATCTATGCTTTTCCCGCACAGTAACCTGCATTCAAGGAAAAGTAACTAAGAAAGTAAAATTGTATTTGAGGACTTGCACATTTGAATATAATTTTTATTTATTAATATATTATGCAATTATCGCATAATATATTATACTTATAGATAACTTAAAATTATAATAATATTTATGGGTTTTTTTTGAAATTTATAACAATTCGCATACAGTACAGTCCTCTAAAAGAGGTTCTAAAGACGTCTAGAGGACGTCTACACGTCTCTAGGGCGTTTCCTGGATGTCCCTCAGAAACCTGTGCTGTGTGGAATATATTTACGTATCATACATTTATCATTATATGAAAAACCGCATGACATAGCCGGATACGTAAATGTAAATTCCAGTTGTGTATATTTCCACGTACAATGATAACATGTGTAAGAAATCAACTCGGAGAGCAGTACACGTAATTATTATATATAGTAGATATATATATATATATATATATATATATAATATACAGAGTCCGGCCGAATAATATGTAAAAGCGGGCACGACGTGATTCCTTATGAAAAAATAAACAAAGTTTTTCGATTATAAATAACTTCAATGACTAGTAATTAATCCTTTATAGAACGGAAAAGCCACTATAGTGACTCTGAAACAGTGTCACATTTTAAATCAAGAAGTATAATAAAATAATAAATTATGACAAATCTCATTCAAGGAAAGGCTGTAAAATTTAAAAAATAGGTCTGGCTTTTCAAAGATTAATATCATATATGAATAAATTAAAAAGAAATCAAGTCAGGCTACAAAAGTTTGAATATTTATCTAATTGTTTGATACGGTCAAGGACATTCAGTCTAATCACAACTCTATTCAGATAAAAATCTCCACAGAGATATGGTAGAAGCGGTAGGATCACGGTATAAATTTTAAATTAAGTAAATATTCAAATTTGTATAAATCTAGTCCAGTTTCTTTTTGATCAATTTATGTACATCTTCCCTGCGACAGTGAGGCAAGAGGAGGCGGTGATTCGACGTACATCAACGTTCTTCGCGAAAAAAGGAAACAGGGGTCGCCTTAATTATCGTTAACATTACGCGATGCGAGTCTCGCTAGGTTTCGCATTGAAAAGTACAAAACTCCCGTTTCCCGACGATACGGGGCGGCTAACCGTATTGCACAATCGTTCAGGATGATTATCACGACAATGGCATCGCCTGGGAAGATTTCCCGCGGAGGCGTTCGGCCTTTCGCGGACAATGCGAGCACGTCTCGTGCCAGGGAAAATCGTCGGCAGTGAGGTAGCGTTGGTGCACAGGCGGTTTGTCAGCCGATTGACAAGTCAATGTGTGCGGATGGCACGAAGAGTCTCGCGGGAGGATACCGAGAGGAGGTCGAGGTCTCCTTGAAGACGTTTCGTACAGGGTGGATGAGAAATATGCGATTGTACGTGACTCATTTTCCACGGTTGTCGCTGTACTTTGTTACAACGTTGAAAAAAACCCAGCCTTTTTAAATTATTGCCTTTAGAATTGCATCTTCACACTCTCTTCATCTAATAGGTAATTATATCCTTTAATCTTTTCATCTAATATTTTTTAAATTTCAACAGTAATTACCACAGACACCGATATGCGAGAGAAAGATTTTTTTATTGTGATGTCTGAATGATATGTTTGTATACTTCTGAAGTTTAATTTTTAATTTCACATAGATTACGATAAAGTCAATTTCTGCTGTTTCTAAATTAAGTATTGTTCCCTCTCTTTTAAATTTTAATTAAATCTTATTCATAAGTAATCATTTAGATTATAAACAAGACGAAGTTTTTCCAATACTCGTGAATTTGCTGCATCACTGATACGTTCCTACGAAAACCTGAAACATGGTATTTCATAAGATAGCCTAAATTGCAAATAGAGGGACAGGCCATGCGGGTTGTGCGTTTTAAAGTTTCGAAATTTGTCAGTCTGATTGACGAGAAAGTTTTAAATCTGGTTAGTGGGTTAGCTAAAGTATCGTGACAAAATATTTAACAAAAATTTTTTTTAGTGTGCTCAAATAAAATATTATGACAAAATTCTTATCTAGTAAAATAGAAAATTTTTTTCCTTTAAAATAGGCTAAGTCCACAACCTCACTTTAAGAGGCCCTAAGCCGTAAAATCGTAAGAAATTGAAAATCATAGTTGAATGCGAGAAAAATAATCGACTGTGATTGGTCAATTTCTTACGGCTTTACGGCTTAGGGCCTCTTAAAGCGAGGTTGTGGACCCAGCCATAAAGTTTAAATTTACTTATACTTTACCGCTTGTAGTTGCGTATATTCGTTGACGTTGGTTTCGTATGCCCATTGAGCTATCACATTAGCGCTACATCTTTCTGCGCCGAGGAAATCTAATCTAGCTAAGATGTTTTGGAAATTTACTTCATTGGGTGGTAGCTGTCGGTTAGCATCTTCATCTCTGTAGGGCGGTAGATCCAATTGACCGGAAACTGCTGATAACAGGCAGAGTGCAAGCACTGTCCATCTTACCTAAATCAAGGACAATCGTTATAATATAGTTTTGAACATATTCCCTGCCTTTATTTCAGCAATAATAGAAATGGTGACAGATTTAAATCATAATCTTATTATTAATTTTCGATTACTGAAGGTATTAAATTATGAATATTTAATGCATACACTGTAAAAAATACAATGTTAATTTTAACTTAAAGACGTTGAGTAGATTTTCTGAGACATGCAAAAATGTTAAAATTAACATTTTTGTGTTAATTTTAACATTTTTGCATGTCACTCAACGTCTTTGAATTAAAATTAACATTTTATTTTTTACAGTATACAATATAAAATATTCTCTTCTTTAGTGATCTCTTTGATAATCACTTTAGAGAGGGAATAATTTTGTGATTAGATATTTGATTTGTTCAGAGTTGTCTTGAGAGCAGAGGCAACTTTTTGTTTTAGATTTGAATTTACATATGCTGGGAAGCGATAACCAGAGTAGTTTTCTGTTGCCTTCTTTAATCGATAAAATACGTTTTTTCTAAAATAACATTCATTATTTTAAGTAATATTTCCATAAAATTTAAATCTTATGTTATATTAATCAGTTTTTACTTTAATTTTTGTATTGTTCAATACTTGGTTTAATACTTATGTATTTCTACTATTTCGGTAATTGGAGTAAGGTTGTCGATAAGATTGATGAATTTGGCCGCATGCGTGTATACCCATTGATTCGTTCCCATAAATATACTTAATTTCGCTCGTTTCTTTCATGTTTAGCCTACGGCTCGTTTTCACTCGAAATATGGGGACTAATCACATAATAATTTATTTAGTCAGTTCTCTCTTTCAAAATATAAAAATATAACAATTCAAATAATTGAAAGATATCTAAGTTTTCAAAAATATAATAAACTAAAATATTCAGAGATAATGAAAGTACAATGTGGTTGTATGGGCACAAATTATCACGTTATAAAGATATTAACTATAACATTGAAACACCTTTTTTATCTCTCACTTGACACAGAATACAAATTGGACGTTTCTGTTTTGTGTTGTTGATATATAAACGGAAGGTGAACATTTCCGAGCTTTTTAGCGATATATCGATCAAGAGGATAAAGTGGTGTAGTTGTCAAAGAAACGAACGACCTGGACTGGGTAATGACCTTTCAATAATATATCACTAAGACCAAACGAATTTCCGTACTTTCCTTACAATGTTATTTTCAATGATCATTGTATCGAATTACATATAATGCAAAAATAAAATCTTAAATAAATAATTTTCATATTATTAAACGCACTTTATTTATTTATAAATTATCGACATCAAGAAAAGAGATAATATCGATAAAGCTGTTGATGTGATATCAATATAAAAATATTCTAAAATTTTACATCAAGTAAAATGTAATAGGGATAGACTAGAATTGAAAGCAATAGAAAGAATGTAAAATTGCGAGTATATACAAAACAAATTTTTTAGATTAATAGTTTGATGATTAACAATTGATGATTGTAAGTCGACTAACACGTGTATATTCCAAAATTACAGGCGGCCTATTTCAGGTGAGTGTCATCAAAAAACCTGACGTGAAGCCAGGTCGAGTCACCTGTTTATGAAGGACTTAAATAATTTAAATCGAATTTGGAGTATACAGACCACAGCTTAAATACATGATATAAACGTAGTTGTCTGTATTAGTTTCATCTCTGGTCTCCCTTAATGGACTCAGCTTTCTCTCGCAAAAAAATAATTATAGTTAATTCATAAAGCGATGGGGCCTTCGCGCAAAGTGGGATTGCCGTGCCACAAATTACCGCACGTAAATTATTATTATGGGACCTCTGACTCTCATACAAGTTAATATAGAAATTTCATTGTTTTTTTAAATCACGTCATGACATTATGAGCGGAGCATTTACGCGCAATTCATTTGTTGGTCTCACGGTCACGTGTTACGTCTTCGCGTTACGTATTTCCTCCCAGCATGAAAGGTATCTGCTTATGCACAGTAGTAGGTCACTTGTGGTTGATCGAGATGCGATGACCTTGGTTTGGTACAATTGCGCTTATAGAAAAATATCTTTTCTATTTTTTTTAACGTGCAACTGCGTGAGATTTAGTATTTTACGGTATTCCGACTAAAGTAATTGCTTTTGCTAAAATAAGCGCGTTTTAATAATATTCTTTATAAATCAATAATATTATATTGTAATTATAACAGTCGGTAATGAGATGTCACGAAGATTTATGAAAAATAGTCTAAGCATACTCGATCATACAAACGAGGTCATCGTTACATGTAATTGTTATATGGTAGTATCATGCATTATGATCTAACGAATGAGATGATTCATTAATGCCAAGAAACCTTGCATCTATTTTCTAACAGTTTTTCTTATACAAAACCCGCTATATTAATTTAAACAATACAAGGTGTAACGTAATATATGGAATTATTTGGGAGATAATTTCAGTACTTAAAATAAAAAATAAGTTCATTTGGGTATAATATATAAACAATATTCCCCCCCTTCCTAGATAGATTCCATATATTATTATTCATTATATTCGGACCTGCTAATGTCTCTGTATTACATCTTGTGTAACTAAAATAATCATTTCTAATCTGTACTGTAATTACTGAAAGTTATAGAGTATTTAAAATCACTTAAGTAATATCGACAAGTCTACATTTAACAGACTAATTCAAATAGTTTTAAGCAAATTATTGTTATTTGCATTTATAAAAAAATGTTGAAATTTTGAATAAGAAGAATAGTGAGATAATGCAATATTAATTATACAAATAGATATTAGACAAAAAAAATTTTTCGTAAGAGCAAAAGAGTGATTATAAAAAGTAAATTGCTTGTTTTTATATGACTAATACCTGAACATATCTTCGTATATCCGGAAAATTACTGTATGAAACATGGTGACACACACAGTTTTAACACTCTTTCAGATTTACGTTTATCCTCTCTTTCGCTATTTAAATTCCTAATTTAATCTATTAAACACATTTGTGCATACATAGGGAGACATTCACGATGTTTAACACTAGAAGGAGCGCACTTATTATTTCGACAGGTGCAGTGTCTTCTCTTAATTAATCGTAGCTCACTTAATTTTTATTGTTTCTCAAATTTTGCAATTGTTTCACTGAATAGAATTACACGACGTATGAAAATCACGCAATTTGCGTTAAAATAATGATGAACAATTTTCATCCTTCTAGCGTTAAAATCACTGCAGGAGACAGCCACCCCCATCGTCAACGAAGACTTACGGAACTGCTACTGACGTGATCCAACATCCCGCCGGTTCCACTAAAGACGAACTTCATGAAAATTGAAAATCCTCGATAATGATCATTTACTATCAATCCGATTGGGTACACGCAACAAAACTCCTCGTCGTACGAAATTCCGTTCCACCGATCGAGCACGACTAACACGAGCGACGGTCTTGTTCTGCCGACGCTAAAAGCCTCGTGGACGACGCCAAGTGTACATTTATCCCTGCGAAGCTGTTCGAACGCGACCACGAGGAGGTCATCCGTAGCGAAGAAGGTGGGGGATTCGCGCACACCTCGTTCGTGTCGTTGGTTCGTCGTTGTCGCTGTTGCTTAGACAGATTGTCGTGGGAGTAGGTGGAAGTAGCCGAGGACGAGAATAAGAAGACGAATAGCTTTGTAATGTCGCATTTAAGGGAGGAACTCCCTTTGGAAATCAACTTAAAAGTTACGGATATGAATTAGGATTAAGAAAATTTATAAAAATAGATAGATTAGCAAAGCTTTTTGTTGTGTAATAATTCCTTCGATGTCACGAAAGCAGAAGACGATAGGAAATTTCACGAAAAGTGTGTTGATTAGATTGAAGAGAAGTAGGAATTTAAGGATAAATGATGAATTAAGGATAAACAGAAATAGGCTCGCCAAGTAATGACGACAGACAGGATGATGGGTTGAGGGCCAATCGGCCATCGATTGCGACAACTGGAGGCTCTCACGTTGACAAGAGTCATTCGCCGACTCCTCTCAATGAGACCCATTGTCTATTAGAGCGCACGTTTGCTCTTTGCAACTCTGTAAACATTAAAGATTTATTTTCAAAACTGCAAATAGAAAAGAGTGCCGAAGCGGCAAGGCGTAGAAATTGCTTAAAGTATTATAATATATTTTTTCTTGACAATAAGATTTAAATAAACGACCCATTAAGAATTTGATAGCTTAATTCACGGTAATGATGAGTAAGCGGAAATTACGATTTAATCTTAAATACTTGCATCTGCGATACCCATTTAAGTCATACCGATGAGAAAAGAAATCGCGTCGATGCATTTTTATAGATAACAGACGTGAAGACGTTACTTTATTACTAAGACAATAAAAAATGTATGCCTCATCATTACTACATAATGTATAGAAAAGGATAAAGACTGGCTGTTTTTACATCTTAATTTTCATCGATCAATTTTACATATAGAGTGACGCAGTCTACGCTGAAAAAAGTTTACTATAGCTCAATAAATATTTGTTTCAATACTTGTAAGTAAACATTTAATAAATAAATATTTATGCGTAATAAAGAAAAATAATATAGCTAAGTCAAATTAAAAATTCTTGTATCAAATAAGTATACATATAAAAATAACAATAAGAAGAATAGGAAATAAATATGTGTTAACATTTAGTAAATGTTTACTTACAAATATTCGAAAAAATAATAATTAAAATATGGTAAACTTTTTCTCAATGTATATTTTATGTCTTTAGGGAGTTTAAACGTTTAATATTTCATATAGCGACGTATATTGATTCGTGCGTGGCGTTCTTTATTTATTTGTCCAATAGAATTAACGAAATTGTGTCGAATAGCAATTTTGTCAATCTTCATTCGTGAGGTGAGATTTATGGGTAGATAATGTCCGGTAGCCATCGCTTTATATATATACCTATATATATATATATATACACATCGATTAAATAAGCTCAGTAAACACTAATGTCATACGTTTAAATTTCTTTTTCCCTCTATTTTATATATTTTGTACATTTAAAATTTACTTACCAATTTTGAATCGAGAACACAAAATACAGTTGCAACAGTGCGGAAAGCTGTGGTTTATCAATAACGTGCACTCTTCGCAAGATTTATGCCCTCGAAACATATTGCACGCATATAAGTACTAAATTACTGATATTGCACATTTTCGATTTAATTAACCCGATTTCGTTACTCGAAACGTATCGCGCGTAGGTTGAAATTACGCGACACGGTTTTCGAAATTTTGGGGTTATTAATGGAACACATCACTGATGTGCGCAGCTCGACACTGAGTGTCGCGACGCACTTTAATTAGCGAGTAGAGTTCTGATTTTATATTTAAATATCTGTCGACTGCATAACGTATAATTCGATGTTCGTGTACCTACATCGGCGACGCGAAAACTTTTTATCATTCAAGGTTTATTTATCGCGTTAGTTTGCGAGATGCCGCGGGTATCGAGTGAATACAGCTACTTGTGCGCGATCGTATCTTTTTTTTCGCGGTTTGTTTTTATAGTGAAGTGCGCCGCGAATGATTAACGATATCGTGCAAATTATCGTTGTATTTTGGTTGATCACAATCGGTTACGTTTTCGCGAGTGAGTGACGAGGGATGAAGAAGGACGATGAGGGTAAGAGAGAGGCCCAGGAGAACATCAGGAATCAATCATGAGGTGAAAATTATATAGATAGAGAATGACTTTTATAAATGAGAGGTTAGGTTTAGTTATTTCCGACCCTCATACCCTAATCGAATTTAATATACTGATCAAAGTAATATTGAAAAATACTATACTAGTTTGAATATTAAAAACAATTTAATACTTTTAAAACAAGTAATTAATCATTATCTTCTGTTATCTACTTTTGAAATAATATTGATGACTTTCAAGAGAATCTTGTAATTCAGAGTAATAATTTGAAATTAATACTTTTGAGGTGTTTTGTTTTACATATTTAAATTTTATTAATTTGAAGCCTATTCGCTTTTTTGAACCTATTATGTGTACACCAATTAAAAAATTAAAATCACTCACACACACACACACTAATATAAATTAATTTATCTTTATAACTTTTACTAACTAAATTAAGAATAAATATATGATTAATAAATGAACAACAGATTGTTGTGTAGGAAATGTATTATATATGATGGATTGTAATCTTTTATAAACAACTCGCTTCGATAATTGCGACCGGTGCCGGTGTCGCCGCTCATTGAAACACGTTGCTCATTCGCGTTTGTCGCGCTCGCTTGCCAGCATAATGATCGCAACTTTAAACTTTAAACATACTCTACGCGATATTATTCGCCAACTTTAATCACTCGAAGGTAATTGCGACTTCCATATTTATTGTACAAGGATCTTCGACTCTAATTTCTAAAATATGCTGTTGAAGTCTTACGCGATAATTGCAACATACTTTGTATGCATGGGCAAATATAGCACCTATGTATACCTGAACAGACATAAAAGTTGCAGAAATCATGAGTGCGATGTGTCTGCGCATACGATTCGTAGATGAATCGCCGAAAGGCGTGTCGGATGAAACATCGATGAATAGGTTTTGCGAAGCACCGACTTAAAAACGATTCCTATATAATTTCCAGCATTATGAGATGACTCATGTCTCGCGTAATTACGCTCGATCTCATCGAGACAGCACGACACGTGTCGTTTCCCGATTCCAATCGACCTTTCTTTCTCTTGGGAATTGTGGCGCCATTGTTTAAAATCCGAGTGAATAAATTATGTAAAAAAAAAAAAAAAAACGTTCGGTAAATTGTGAATTCGATGTACTTCTTTAACAAGGAGTTTACGCAGAAGAAACAATTTTGTTAAAATAGTAAAAAATTTAGGTACACAAATACAGATAATTTAAAAATAATTTTATTGAACCGTCAAAATAATTAATTATTTTGACGGTTTTTAATAATTATTGAGAAAAACTCGAATACGATGAGCAATACTGCAAAAAAAATTTGAACCTTCTTGCAATCCGCTCCGTTCCGGATGTCACAGCTATATATATAATAAAAAAAAAAGGAGAAAAGCATGCAAATTGCGGATAGCATATGTGTAAGTGTAATAATAACGTGCTCGCGTTACGAGTGTTACAACTCGTAAACTTGACGCATAGATATGAATCGGTCCGCGTACCTATATATCGTACACGAGCGTGTTCTCGCGAAGCGTGTTCGCGCGGTAGCTGATCTTGAACTACATGTTCCACTTAGCTTTCATGATCGGCACTCTCTTTGACAGCCCCGGCGACCGCGCAGGGTTATCTGTGTAACGTATGATTGCGATTAATACGATGGTAGCTCGCGGTAAAGCAGCGTAAACAACCGCGCCCAAGCAGGCTGAGAGGATAGTCCCACGACGATCTGGAATGTACGTAGCTGTGCGAATGGTCTAGGCCGTTTTATGAGACCTTGGAGTCGTTATGGCGAAGTTCTTACGTGCATACGTATATATTCTGCATATTCCGTACCGTATGATGCCGCTCGCACGTATCCACAGCCCGATATACTCTCGTTTACATAATCCGCTCTTACATCGTGGATATTGTATAATATAGGAAAATATGGCTCATATTATTTTATCTTAAGTTTTACTATATTGAACGTTGTTCGTAATTCACGTTGTTTTTGCTTTGCGTCATACTGCGAGCTGGAAAAAAGAAAAAGATTTGCATCTTTAACGATTTGTCGTTTACAGCTACCATTTGCTCAAGTATGACTATATTATTTTTAAAATTGTAGATAATTATTTCAAAGTACTGTTATTATAGTTTACGATGCTAATTGTATCGGCAAACAATTTCGAGATTTTTTCCTTTAAAGAAAGCTTTTGATTTAAAGGTAGTAAACGTTAGAGAAAAAAATTTTATTAAAAATTTACATTAGAAAATTCAAATTTTAGTTAACTTTGGTTAACGCCGTTCTTAAAATAATATATTTAATACAATAAATAATAATATCATTTAAATATAATACACGATGATGTCATATGATTTGTTCTTTTGGCTACTTTATAATGATTATACCAACGTGGAAACACATAAAAAATTTTGCTTGCTTCATAAAATTAAATCAACATGTATACTCTAGAGTTACGACCCCAATGCCATTGGTGTCATGCTCGTACAGGTATCTCTTAGAAGTTCCCTGCGTGCCTAGACTTGGACAATGCTAATCTCATTGGCAGATAATACGTGCACTGGTCTCACGTACCGACCGCATTTTTAGTTTCAAGTACGCATATACACGAATGTGTTTATCGTACGTTTGTACTGCGTGTTTCTCGTGACTTTTTATCGTTTTCGGGCGGGCCTTAATCGAC